AATACCCCGGATTAGTAAGGATGAAAATTGTTCTTTTCAAATGTGATTGGTTTGATCCAATGGTGGATCGTGGAGTGCATATTAACAAGTTCAGAGTGGTAGCTCACGACGATACAATAAGTTTGAGCCTTTTATCCTTGCATCACAAGCAGAACAAGTCACATTTGTTCCATATCCTCGAGTTCGAAGTACTGGAATTTCATGGATGGCGGTTATTCAAGTTCCTCCAATGGGTATAATTGATGGTGTAGATCTCCCGCCTATGCAACAAGATGATTGTGTTAACATAACTGAACCAGAGGTTGAAGAACGTGTTCTTTTAATTGATCCACGTAATCAACAAGTTGAAGATCTCCATGGGGATGACACTAAAGAAGCTGCTGATGAATTTGAAACAAGCAGTGATGAAGATGATAAGATTGAGGACGGCGATGGAAATGATGAACACAATGACATATCCCCAGAAGACGTACCTGAATGCTAAACATAATATTCAGTTTGTCTCATTAAATGTAATTTTAAATGGTTTGGGCAGTGTAATATTGTTAAATGTTATTAAAGTAACTTTTTACTACTTACAAATGTGTAAAAGTGAAAGACAATCAAATTAATTATTTGGCCGTCGCAATCCAAGAGGCAACGCCGGTCACAGATTCTTGGAGGGTATTCTTCCAGTGGATCTTCTGATCAGCAGACCCAGGGTCAGATTTCGGCTCCCGTAGTTCAGACGGGAAACGATGGTACAGCGGCTTCTGGCGGACATGACGGAGAATCTTTTCGGGATGTCGATCTCAACCTCAAAAATTTTAATATCACTTTGTAAATTTATTTTAATTTTTAAAAATTTTGTATTTTAATATATTCATTATTTTCAATTTTGTTTTTTAATTATAATTTTGTTTTGTTTAATATTAATTTTTTTTGTCAACCAAATGTTTCATTAAAGCCCAATGGACAAAACATACAAGGCACAATTTCATCATAAGATCAACAAACCCATAAAACAGATACACAATAACCCAACGCATGTATACACATGTGTTATCATAAAAGCTAATCAGAAAACACATGTCTTAAACTAAGCTTGTCTGTAATCGCTGCTGTTTAAGCCACCACTCCTCGCCGCCGATCTGAGCAAACACCGACTGAGCTTCACCACCAGCGACTATGACTTCCACAGCAAAGATTTGTACCTTGATGTTAACCTTTTTCCGATCTGTACTTCTTAAGATTTGCCATCGAAGAACCAAACCGAGTTAAACGATGATGACCGCTTCTAAACTTTTCCAGATTCAGTCTTCAAGGAGGCTTCGCCGTCGCTCAAACCCAGTTTATTGGTCTGAGCCGTTGTCCATCGTTGCTTTGAGTGTCAAGCAAGAGGAAGGCCAGCGAATATTAATCCAAGCAAAACAGAAACCTGAAACAAGATTTAAAAGAAAACCGGTGTTCCGACGAAGATAAACGATTGGAAAATATCGAAAAAGAGAAAGCTCTGGAATAAACCGGATAGAATCCAAACTACGTCGGAAGTTTATTATCCAAAACATGGAAAAAAAATCCGATCAAGATCGAATATTTACAAACAAAAACCGGAAGAAACCGGTACTCTCTCTGAAAGATAGAAGTGAGAGAAGAGAGAGAGAGTTTTTCCACACGCGATAAATCATTATTAATATTAAGTTATTAATTAAAAATCGAATTTTCATTTATATTTATTTTTTATATATGATGTAAAATCGTCGTAAAGTTACATCGATTTTACGTCAGATGTTTTACGACGAATTAACGTCAAAACATTTTATAACGAATTAACGTTGATATTTTACGACGAATTAACGTTGATCTCTAATAATTTTAATTGTTTTGACGAAATAAATTTGTCGCATAATCGTTGTAAATTCGATGTAATATTACGACGATATTCGTCGTATTTTCATTGGAAACGATTACGTCGAATTTACGACGATTTCTTTCCGACGAAATAACGATGATTTTTGGGTGTTGAAAGTTTTACGTCGATTTTATGACAATTTGAGTTTTACGACGCTCGGTTTACGACAATTTATTTTGTGTCACTAATTCGATGAAAAATCATCGATTACGTCGATTTTACGTCGGTATATTCCGATGTAAAACACCTTCTTTCTTGTAGTGTTACAAATAAAAGTTCTTTTTTGTAAAATATTCTGTAATATCTTACAAATTAAGGTTCATTTCTATAAATGCCTACTTAAATAATAATTAAGAATTAACCCGCACAATATGCGGGGTAATGTTTTGTAAATTGTCTTTAAAGTTAATTTTATTTTTTTAGTTAAACTAAAATTGGTGGCAAAAATCCTTTAATAAAAAATATAAATAAATAAAATTGGTGGTAATTAGATAAAAATATATATATAAATATCACACAACCGATATTTACTTGTATATATATCATCAAATAGGACTTTGAGCTAATTTTAGTATGTGGTTTAATTATTAATAGTTTTTAAATGTAAAAGTGATATGTTGTTAATATATATATACTTATATACATACCAACATGGTATTTTTATGTCTTCGACCTTACAAGTCTGGGCGTTATCGGACTTTCCGTCCCTTCCGGGTTTCTTCCTGAATACCTCTATTTATCAAAATATGAGCTTTCTCTTTTGGAAAACAAAAGAGAGAGGCATGACAGATCCTCAAAAGAATATATATCCTTGGATCCTATGGTTTATTTGGAAAGCAAAGAACGAGAAAATCTTTAACGGGAAAGAAATTTCTCCGAAAGACACCTTGACCCACGCAAAGGTGTAAGCAGAAAGTTGGAGAATAGCAAACCAACCTGAAGATGACGATGACACTCACGTTGAGGCGTTGGCCCTCCCTCCGCCCCCAATATCGTTACCCGAGGAACCGCAGATCCCGATATGCCGGATTGATGCTTCTTGGATCAATCACGGACATGTTAGCGGCCTTGGATGGAGTTTTGAGGATGGCAGAGGGAATAAAATTTTTGGAGTACAAGGAAGTCGTAGAAGCCTCTCAGCTCTTCACGCCGAGATGGATTGCCTCCTATGGGCTATGTCATGCTTGAGAGAAAGACATATGATTTCAGTGCATTTTCAAACCGATTGTTCGGATCTTGTGAGCATGTCTAAATCTCCAGCAGATTGGCCGTCTTTCATGACAGAGCTGGAATCCCTCTATATCCTTCGCGGGAGCTTCTCAGAGTTTACCTTATCCCATATTCCGAGAAGTCTAAATGTCCGGGCAGATAATCTTGCAAAATGAGCTCGAGCAAGATGAGTTATTTTTTCCCAAATCGATCATAACGAGCCGGTCAAAGATGGTCCTCAGACCACTTCTATGATGAGCCAAATGTGATTGTAATAATTGGATAGAGGAAAAAAAAATACATACCAACATGAATTATAATATATATAATAATTTAATTATAAATATTTTATTAGAGAATAAACTATCATTTCTAATTAATAAATTATAATTATGATTATGTAGGAGATTGTCAAAGTGGACAAACCCATCTGCTTAATCTATTTTGCAATTTACTAAAATATTTTTTTGGCCAACCCCTAAAAAAAATTTAAATTTTGAAAATATATTTCAGTTTTTTTTATAAAAATATAAATGAAAAATATTGCACAAGTTTAAATATATTTTATATATATATAGAATGATTATTATTTAAAATAATAGAATATAGTTTAATATATTAATAAGTAAAAAACTAAATACACTTTTGATTTGTATCCATATATATTCAAAACAAATCTGTGAGTTCTATATTTAACTATCTTTAAGGAGAATATTTAATTAAGTTTTCTATATTTGTAAAGTTTATTATATAATATCTTCTAAGTAAAAGTTTACTTATGTAATATTTTGTGAATAAATATTTATTTATGTAATTTTTTTTGAATATCTTACAAATAAAGATTCATTTATGTAAATGTCTACTCAAATAATAATATAGAAATATAGAGATTTTCGACAACATTTCAGAAAAATTAGACTTGAATGATATATTTTTCACGTTATTTTTGATTTATTTCGTTCAGTTCATAGTAAAATGTACATAATATTTTATAACTAGATTAGATCAATTTTTTCTTGGCTTTTAAAAAAACTAGATTAAACAACTTTCTTCATCTACTAAATAATATCTTTTCATGAATCTATAAAGTGGTGGGACTTCTCGACCTCATTTACATTTTGAATTGGTGATTTTTGTAGGATCAGCTTTAATGCTCGTAAATGGGTTATTTGTTACTCTTTATATATAGCATTGTCAAACTTGTATCAACTGATTCTTAGTTTTTTTTTGTGGTTTATATATCAAGATTATTGGTTATGTATAGCATTGTCAATTGGTGTTGTATTCAGCTACATATAACATTGTTGTGTAGTTCTAGATACATTAATTATACTTTGTGTAATTTTTTATATATATAGTTGTGTAGTTCTTTATACGTTAAATTATAGTGTGCTGAAATCATTACACTGTTCCATCAATTCCCGATATGCTTATGATGTTAGTCACATAATTTTTGTTAATTTATATATGTCATTATATAGATTATATAGTTAGTGTAATTAGCGATGCATTAATATATTCCGCATATGTGACTATGATGGAGTATATTTTTTGTAGCTAGCTATCATTTTTTTTTTTTATCACTCAACTATTTTACAATTTAGTTTTAGTTTGTTCAGCTTGCGAATTTTCTCGTTCAAATTCATTATTCAGTTATTCAGATATTTGGCAACCAATCAAACTCATTGTTCATAATTGTCATACTTTGCTCATAATTTTTAAAGATGACGTTAAAATGGTCTTTGAGGCATTGAAAGACAATTCTACTACGTTGAAACTGAACCGGCTTCAGTGGTTTTGTTTATTCTTCATTAAAAAATATAGACTTAGTGACAATGTAACAAAAGAAAAATCTTTACCGGCTAGCAGAATTCGTCACTGCAAATTTCCAACTGTTAAACACATATCGATCAATCGAAGGTGGAGCGCCAAAGAACTAACATATTGTGTTGTTATAATAAAAGCAAGGACAAGAAAACGAGAGAAAACAGAGGATTGTATCAAAATCTTCCATCTTTCACATTGAATTCTTTAATTCTCTTTTTTGTTCCTTGAACTATTATCTCACAGATACTATGTTAAACCAAGGTCAAAATCTTCACACTAACCATTCAAATTCTAACCATCAGCCGTCACATTCTCCATCTCCGGCGACCCAACACGGAAGAGGAGCTCGGATAACGATAGGTTCACCCGTAACCGGGTGATCGAAAGACAAACTCTCAGCGTGAAGCTCATGACCCTCGAATGTTCTTCCTCTCCACTCATACATTCCATGATACTTCACATCTCCTCTAATCGGAATCCCAAGATACCGACAGTGTAGCCTAATCTGATGCGTCCTCCCACTTCTTGGGAACGCCCTAACAACAACAACATCGTCTCCAACACAACTCAGTCCCGGTTCCCCCTCGACAACAATCACACTTTCAACTTCTAACGGCTCGGTTTTCTCTCCGTTTACAGACACAACTTCAAACGTTGTCTCCATATCTCTAACAAATGATCCTCCTGGTAAGACTCTTCCAACGTCTAAAGCAGCGTAAACTCGCCAAGCTCCGTGTTTTGACCGTCCATGACCTGACCTAACCGTGATTTTGCTCCAATTTGGTGATGACCCAATGCAGAGAGCAATGTAGGATTTACGAATCTTGTGTTCTGTAAACGCCTTAACGAGCTTAGCAGCGACTTTGTGAGACTTGGTTATGAGCATTACGCCACTAGTGTCACGATCTAATCTATTCGCGAGATGAAACTCGTTCGCTGTACTCGAAGAATCTGAGGTTTGAAAGAAAACCAGATCAATTGTGGAAAAAATGACTCGGATTTTGGATATTCTCACGAGGAAATTCGAGATCGAGCTTACCAACAATAACTTTAGGAGCAGAGGAGAGAACAGATTCGCAGTAGATGCCTTTTGGTTTATTTACGGCCATGAGCCATTCGTCTTCGTATAGTACATCGTTTCTTGTGAGATTGAAGAGGCTCGATTTCGATGAAGCTTCCATGGCTCTTTTGAGTTCAATGTCTTTCGAGATCGGAGGCGGCGGAGCAGAAATGGGTTTTGGGTAATTTTGATTGGTGTCTACAGTTGTGGGGAGATCGTTTCGAGCTTCCATGGCCTTGATGGAGACAGCAAAATAGGGTTTTGTAAGTTTTGTATTTGATGAGAAGGAGAAGCAGAAGAGGTTTCGAAGAAGAAGAGAAGCAGACATTGAAATATTTAGTTTCAACCTTTTAATTATACAGTAGGTCCATAAATACGTATATGGTATACATACTCGGTTAAGGGTTCAGTTACGGTTAGGTTCATTTTAGTTTTCGTGGTTTTGTTTCGGACTTTTATAGCAATTAAATTGGTTATTATTAGATATTATATAATATTATATAGGTGAGATATATATGTATATGTATATGTGTTTGTATATATATATGTATATATTATAATATATTAGAGATGAGAGAGAGGAGAGGAAGAGAAGAAGGGGAAAGAAATCATTTTTCTTCTATTATTAACTTCTTCACAAGTACATAAAACATATATATAGAAGAATGAGGCGGTGGCAATTGAAAGCGGTGAAAGTGTGGATAATTATCCGTATTCTATAACATTCCCTCTTAATTATCTATCACTATTATTATTTTGTAATCTCTTCTTGAAAAGATTGATATAATATAGTTCTTAAATAAATAGTCTTTTCTTCGGATTGATGATTCTTTACTATCTACGTCATTAGAATTGTAATACTTTTTTCCGATGTTTTCAAAATCTTTTGCGTATTCTTTGATGTTTTGTTAAAAACTTCGTCATGAAAAAATTCGATGGGACAAAAACCATTGCAAAGAAAAAAAATGTATCCACGCTGTTTTTCTTCTGGAAGTATTGCTATTTACATATTTATCTTTTTACGTTTTTCTTTGCTGCCTCGTTAAAAACCTCATCATGGAAAAACTTATTGGGATAAAAACCATGATAAGGGAAAAAGAGTGCAGCTACGCATATCATTACAATTTTCCCCGTGGAAGCATCATCTTCAGGATATGCATTCCAATTATATACACTATCTTTTTGAGATCTTTATAAGTAGAGCATTTATGAACAAACTCGTAAGATCGTCATTCTCGGATCCTTGGACTTCTGGTCCATTAATCAAGTTAGTCATGCTCTTTTTCATGAAATATAGTATCCTGACATTCCAAAATTTCTCATTTCAAACTCTTCTTTTGATCAATGTAACTTGACCAAATAAAATGTTCCAGATGCTTCAGGCATCTTTGATCCTTCTGGATTTTATCATTATATTACTGAATGTGATTACATCCATGATCGGAGAACATCAATTTCTGGTCTTTGAGAAAAACTTTGTGCCAAAACCGGGCTTATATCATGTGATTTTGTTTTTCTCATCATTTTCGAACAAAGACCCATTTGGTCTTGAATGACATTACATCTTCAAGTGTAATGACCATAAGTCCAAAAACATTTTATTTTCCTGATTCTTCTGGAATCTTTTCATTTTGTTCTCCAACTTTCTTTCTCTTCAGAAGAATTTTAGATTCCATTAGCCTCCTCCTTTTTTTTTTAAATTGAACCTTACGTTCATTTACTTTACTCCGATAAATTTTGTTTTTCAGGAACATTAAAATTTATAGAGCACTTCCAAATTTTACGAACTTCAAGTTCGAAATATTTTATAAGGAGGATTAAATAGCAATTTCTTTAGAAATGCTTAAATCTGAGTTTTTCTATATGTTAGATCCTGCTGGGATCTTTCGAGATAAGATGTTTAATTGGGATACCTGCAAAACAAAATAACATATTTTTCCTAAAAAGCATTATATGTTAGGACTAAATCAATGATCACTTTCTTTGATCTATCTATTGGTTAATCTTAACTAAAACTATTAAACCCTATGCAACATATACTCATCAAGTAGAGTTCCCGGGAACATAATTATGATATCAATCCCTTAAGGATTTTTTTCTTTCACAATTCAAGTCGCTTATTTTCTGCCAGACTTGATATTACTTTTAATGTTTGGACTGCTGGTCCAAAAATTTCTCATTTTTCATATGAGTTCAGTATAGACTTGATTGCCACTTTTCACTTTTTGGCCAATATTTTCACTTTCTACACTCATCTAGAGAGGTAGATTTATGATCCTCATTTATACCAAATCGCGCGCTATCTATTGTCGACAATTATTTTGTCTTTGGTTCTATTTTTTTCTGTAATAATATGGTTAATCGAGATATCTTTATCAATGATATCATTTATGTACATGATTTTATTATTAACCATAATACGGATCTCTTCAGGAGATTCATCCTCTTTTCAACACATATTTGCTCTTTTTCTTTTGAGGATTTAATATTTGGAACCAAAATAGTCTATCACGGTTCTTACGTGCCATAGACTCTTTATTGATAAATTGTCCTTCAGGGACATACTCTTGGAGCATTTTGAGCTAGAATTGAGATTTTCTTTTATTGTATGTCTGACATTTACCTATGAATTATCCTTTGAACTCCAGGTTCAAAATCGTTTATTCGAGGATCCATAATGACATTTCATATAATCTCATTCATTAGCTCTTCCAGACCAAAACATGGAGATTATATTTCACCATTTGTTGATTTTGCGATTTTCAGGATCTACTTTATAAATTATCCATAAAACTCATTTCAAGTGTGAACATAATCTTCAGGATGTTCCACTACTTTAATATAGGATTTTTTTAACTCTCCCCCTCGAGATGATGATACTTTAAGTTCATCCATCTCGGACTGAATCCAACTTTAGGACCAAAACATATCCAAATAACCCATCTTTGAGCCTTGTATTATGCATCAAATCCTTTTGTGGGATTCTTTATACTTTCTTTGAGATGATGGCTTTTCATGCCCATTCATCTTGAACCGATTTTCGGTTCTAGATCTATTATATGATTTGGGGGAATTTTAAAGAAATCCAACCATTATATCTAATAATCGTTCAACCAAAAATGGTGATTTATCTCTGATGATGGTTTTTTTTTCATCATGACATGCTATGTGTGAAAACTTCAGGTTTTTTTCACATAAATTCTCAATACCATTATTACACCGGGATGGCTTAAACCGGTTATATTATATACTAGTAAACTTCAGGTTTACTATCTTATACAATTTTGCCATCTTTATGCATGTCTCCATCATATATTTTTCTATAGCATTTCGTTCTGCCGGAATGTTTCGTTCTTCTGGAACGTTTAGCTCTTCTGAAGCGTTTTGATCTTTTAGAGTTTTCCATTATCTATAATTTTTTTTCTCTTCAAGAGCGTTTAGTTCTTCAAGAACTTCTAATTTTTTATGAGTTTTTGGCTCTTCCGGAAGTTTTAACTCTGTTAGAACTTTTAACTTTTCTGTAGTTTTCAGCTCTTCTGGAGCTGTTATCTCTTCCAGAGATTTCAACTCTCATGGAGTTTTTAGTTTTCCGGAGCTTCTAACTCTTTCGGAAGTTCTGATTTTTAAAGACATGTTTCAATATCTTTAACCATATTGTAATCGGTAAAACAAATTAAATATTTAAACATAAATAAATAACAAAACAGATGAAAATTAAATAATAGTTTGCATATATGTTAGTCGTCTTCTGGACGAAAGTTATTAAACAGTTCTTCAAGAACGCTGTCATATATATCTTCTGGATATATATATTTTCAATATAGTTTTTCTGGAACTTATTTGCATATATGTCTTTGGGACATATTTTTTTTAAGTATGTCTTCTGGACATAATATTTTTCTTAGTTTTTCAGGAACTTTTCTTAAATGTCTTCGGGACATTTATTTTATGGAGGTAATGATCTGAAGAGTCAACTACCATATGATCACAAACCAACCATATTTTTGATCTGAGGAGACATAGTCTGCCATATGATCATGATCGTAAAGGCATAGCCTCCTTAACGATCGGTTCGGAGAAGGCATCGCCTATCATCCCGATCATATAAACATAAACAGATCTAATATAATTTAAAACTCACCTTTCTGGTATAAAAACAGATCTCACCTTTTCGGTATTATATCAGATTACGAGACAATCGTGCTGATAACGTATTAGATATTATATAATATTATATAGATGAGATATATATGTATATGTATATGTGTTTGTATATATATGTATATATTATAATATATTAGATGAGAGATAGGAGAGGAAGAGAAGAAGGGGAGAAGAGACGAGAGGGGAGAGAAATCATTTCTCTTCTATTATTAACTTCTTCACAAGTACATAACACATATATATAGAAGAATGAGGCGGTGGCAATTGAAGGCGGTGAAAGTGTAGATAATTATTCATATTCTATAACAGTTATGACTCGATTTAATTCGTTTAAGTTTTTTTTTATTTAGTATTAAAATAATTTTGTGTTCTCCTCTAGTAATATAAAATTAATGGTTACTCAACCCTTTGCGAAACCTTTATTTAATCAAAGAAAATTTCAAATTTTCATATTTTGTAATTTTTTATTTTAAAGTAAAACAGAGTTTATAAGTTATTTAAAAAAAATTACAAATACATTCTATATGTATTTTTACTTACCATGGTTTCATTTGTTATATCTTTGAATATATATTTTTTCTCGTAAAACAAAAGAGCAGCTCACTTAAAACAAATTACTAAAATTATATCATCTCTAATACACTTAAGAATCAAATTAAAGTGATTAAATAAGAAATTTATATACTTATTTGTCTAGTGATTTGTTGAGGTATTGGTTTCTTATCGTGTTTCAGAATATTATGCTAACATGTCACGTTCTCAAAGAGTTTTGGCTTCGAAAAGTCTGTAATATCCTTAATGATAGATTTATAATCCTATGTGTATGCGTTTCATTTGTTCTCTTCCGCTGAGATGTATAACTCACTTAAAATAAACCGACGTAGAGTTTATTGTACCGTTTGATTAAAATTTTGGTTCGATTTTTGATTAATCAATCTTGGTTTGGTATTTTATCCCGTCATCAATTTTTTATTTTTTTTTATTTTACCAAATTTGACATTTACTAAAACCTAATGAACTCTATTTTTTTTTGTTTGCCATAACCCACACGACATAGTCAGTTATTTAAAATCAAATCACTTCCGCTATAAATAAACTCTAATATGAAGATATCAATATACTTATTATACTTATTTGTGTAGTGATTTGCTGAGGTGTCGGCTTCTTG